AATTTCACTGCAAAATGGAAAAATGAACAGCAAAAGTTTTCATACATGTCGGTTGGAAAGCGACTCCTCCTCGGCCGTTTCACCGATTCGCCTCAAAATCGCTCCACATCATCTCAACACATGTACCTTCAAAATGACCTCAGGGATTTTTGATCAGTGAAACATTGTTTGAGGCAGCGGAGCGGCAAAATGTGACCTTTTTTTGGCCGTTTTTGACAACATTAAATTTGCTCCCGTTTGCACAAAAAGTCTGATTTGCACAAAACTTTAATACATTGTTCATTGTTGTTTTTTTAATGTTTTTGACTAAAGAAAATTACTTTTTGTTTACTCAAACAAAGTCGATTTGCAAAAACTTGTTTCATGGTTAAAATCTAGGGAGTAGGTCATTTGAAAGTGAAATTAATTAAAATGCTAGAACAGCGCCCCCTACATCAGCCAATTATATACTCTATGAGAGTTTTGGAGGTCAAGTTTGTCGTAGAGCCAGAAAATTTGGGTACACATATTCCTCAAGGTAAGACATGAAAAAAAAGTTACTATGGCCCCGCCTTGACAACCGGGAGCCATAAATTTCACTGCAAAATGGATAATGGAACCGCAATTAATTTTCACACATTCGTTTGGAAGCGACTCCTCCTCGGCCGTTTCACAGATTCGCCTTGAAATCGCTCCACACATCTCAACTGGGTACCTTCAAAATGGACTTCAGGGAATTTTTATCAGTGAAACAATGTTAGAGCATCGGAGCGGCCAATAGTGACCTTTTTTGACGATAGAAAAATAGCTCTCGTTTGCACAAACAAAGTTTGATTTGTACTAAACTTGACCCGGTTGTTTCTACTCCTGGGCCTGGGTCACCTAAAGGTGTAAAATATTACATATGCTCTTTAGCGCCCCCCTAAATACCGAGCTAAAGCTTTACATGGGGGAGCCAAACCAACGGATCAATATCACAAATATTGGCCTATGGTACGGAAGCAAATCATGGCGCGGCGGCGGCGCCACCTGCGGAGCGGCGGTCACGCAGGGAGTCACGGGAAGGGGGAATCGCGAGTTGCGCGGTATGGGGAATCGTAGCTGTGCCGGAGTCGTAGCTGTGCTGGAGTCGTAGCGGAGCGGAGAGTCGTAAGAAGCGCACGGGGCAGGGAGTTGTAGCAGAGCGGGCAGTCGTAGCGGCGCGCGGTGCGGGGGAGTCGTAGCGGTGCGCAGTGCTGGGAGTCGCAGCGGAGCGGAGCGTGGTGCAGGAAATTGTAGCGCGAGCGGGGTGTTTGTCGAGGCGCCGTTCGACGCGGAGTTCTTTCTTTCTTTTTTTTCTTGCCCTTTGAGCGGACCCCTGAACAGCATGAAATAGTTCGTTAATCTTTGGCCCAGTATCCTGGTGAAAAAAATTGATATTTTGGTGTTTATTTTTATGGGACTCAAAAATGACAGAGCGCCCCCCCTACAACAGCGGGATTTTTGGAGGTCGGTGTAGAAACATGAAATTGGTACTCATGTTGGTCAAGTCAAGACTATGAAAATAAATTATTATTATGGTCCGCCCTCTGACAAACAGGAAGCCCATAAATTTCACTGCAAAAAAGGAAAAATGAACAGAAACGTTTTCATACCAGTCGGTTGGAAAGCGACTCCTCCTCGGCGTTTCACCGATTCGCCTCAAAATCGCTCCACATATCTCAACAATGTACCTTCAAAATGGACCCTCAGGGATTTTTGATCAGTGAAAATTGTTTGAGCAGCGGAGGCGCTAAATGTGACCTTTTTTCGGTCCCCCGTTTTTGACAACATTAAATTTGCTCCCGTTTGCACAAACAATGTCTGATTTGCACAAAACTATACTACAAATTGTTCTACTCGAGTAGTCTAGGTCTTTGAAAGTAAATTGATTCAAATTGCCACTTTAGCGCCCCCCTACAGACTAGTTCAAAATTTTGACTGGGCATTTTCAAATTTAGTTTTTTACAAAAATGTTTGAAATTTTGTCACATAAATCTGTTTGCCTCTTGATTCAAAAGTCAATTGAGTCCAAGGTAATTTTTTACCCTGTTGCCGTGCGACGAGAAACGCTCCCCTTTCATTGCAATGTACACCTCACAACAAAACCATCAAACCAGCCCTCGGCCGTTTCACCGGATTTTCGCCTCAAAATCGCTCCACATCATCTCAACACATGTTACCATCAAAATGACTTCAGGGAATTTTGATCACAGTGAAAGTAGTTTGGCAGCAGAGCGCCAAAAAGTGGGTATTTTTTTTCAGTTTGTGACAATAGAAAAATTGTTTCCGTTTGCACACACAAAGTGTGATTGGCACAAAACTTGAATCATGGTTTAATTCTTGCGTCTAGGTCATTTGAAAGTTTAACATTTTGAAAGTGGCTCTATCGGCCACTACAATCAGCCAATTTAAAAATGCCTATGGGAGGGGGTTCAAGGGTCAAAATTGCTTAGAAGCATGTAATTTGGTACACATGTTCCTCAAGTCAAGACAGGAAAAAATGTAATTATGGGCTCAATCCCTCATGACAAACAAGAAGCTCAAAATTTCATGCAAAATGAAAAATGAACAGCAAAAGTTTTCATACATGTCGTTGGAAAGCGGACTCCTCCTCCAGGCCGTTTCACCGATTCGCCTCAAAAATCGCTCCACATATTCATACACATCGTACCTTCAAAATGACCTCAGCGATTTGTGATCAGTGAAACATTGTTCGAGCAGCGGAGCGGAAAATTTGAACTTTTTTTTTGCGTTTTTGACAAACATTCAAATTTGCTCCCGTTTGCACAAACAAAGTTGATTTGCACAAAAACTTTAATACATTGTTCAACTCCCAGGGTATATTACCAGGGTCGAGGCCTAAGTTTTGAGACTTGTTTGAGACTGTTTGACATGTTCCATCCATGTAGCTTTTTCTACACACCACTTCAGTAAATCACTCAGACTTATATTGTACTTTATGATGGGTTGACCCTTTTATCCATTGATGGTAAATGTATGTATATGTATGTTTATATTTATATACATACATATTTTTGTAAATGTGTTTGTGTGTAGATGTGTGTGTGCATATATGTATATAGAGTATTTGTATATACAGTATATGTATTGTATGTATTCTGTATGCAGTATTAGACACGTGACAGCTCTCGCTCACGTGACTAGGTCTTAAAGTTGCAACCAGGTGTGTCTGGGATTTATGTCTGATGAAGGACCTCAGCCCAAAACATTACAACGCAGTCTGTAAATAAAAGACACTGATTGGGAGCTACGTAGCTGTGCAGATTTTTTTCACTGTTTATACGTTTTGCAATTTTTTAATCCAGCACGCTCGCCCAGACTACAGGGATGTGCGGCCTTATTTGAAACTTTCTTGCATTTCCAAAGTCGACCCATAAATCCAGCCACCTGCTTTTTTAACATCAACTGTATATTATCACTGATTCACTTATCTCTCTCGGGCTGTTTTTTTCTCTTTCTGTAGAACCATTATCCCCCCCCCCCCCCCCCCCTTCTGACAGACCCTTGGCCCCCGTCCACTACGACCTCTCACATTCTGGAGCTGTGTCTTCCTGAACAAGTCCGGACACAATCGGCCCCAAAAACTTTTCTCCCACTGACTCACAGTGTTTACACTCTCCCCGCGGTCAGCTCATGTCCGTTCAGGAACTCTCCCTTTCAACCCGTTTGGATAAAATAAACTAATTGCGCAATAAGTATCAGTCTTTAAAGTCATCAGTAGTTTTTACAAAGTCTATCCCACTGCTTCTGACACATTCCTCAGATCTAAATGACTCACGGCGAAGGGTTTAGAAGCATGTGTTTGCATTATATACACGTTTTTTCACTCTTTTGTGTTAGAATCTGTTCAAATATAGCAAATGAAATGATGAAAAACACAGATTGGTCCACAAGGGGCAGATGACCACTGTCCATAAATGTTGAGAATTGACACAGATTATTTATTATTGAGGATAAATGCTGTTCACCTCCAAATTATGGACTCTGTTTTGTTTTTATGTACATATTTCTTAATCAACATGCATTATACTGTATTTATTGGATATTTTCTATAACTATGGACCGTATTGTATTTTATCCTTAATAATGCAGGTTTTTCAGCCACAGAATGGAAATCTGGAGAAGATTTCTGACTATTCTGCAAAAGTGATGTATTATGAATGGATTTGTTGTTGACATCTTTCCACTTTGAGCACTTTTCTGAATGACAGGGCTCTTTCTCTGCATCACAAGTTTGCAAATATGTCTGTAATGTATAAGACAGCTGATTGTGGTCTGATTTGTTTACATCATACTTCTGCAATACACTTTCAGTTCACAAAAATCATGTGTTATTTCTATCTCTATTCATATTTCTTGTCCAATTCCCTCGTGCTGCAAAAACATGTACCGATACTATAGACTTCTTTCTCTAAAATATACAGAATTTAATACTTGCTTTTTGCTATAGTCAGAAATTTCATACTTAATTCTTGCTTCTTCATTATGTTAAAGCTACAGATTTTAAACTTGCTTCTGTTATTATTCGCAATTATTGTCTACTTATCTTTGACTGCTCTTCATTCCTACTGTTTTGTAACTGGCGATGCAACACTGAAATTTCCCTAATCTGGGACGAATAAAGAATCTCTTAATGACTTTCAAATCATAGCCTCCAGATTTAAAGTACAGTAGACGGATGGATAATAAAATAGATCAAAAAGATTGTAGAATAGATTAATTATTAACTCCTCCTTATCTTTACTTGCTCTCTCTATGTGAATTTGCTGGTCACATTCTTCCCCAGTGGAAATTCCAAAGGAGCCTGCCTCCCTCCGAGCAGGTTTGGCTTGACTGGAATCGGCAGGGATCTGGGAAAACCCATTTCTGCTCCGTATAAAAGGGCTGCAGCTCCTAGCGTTTAGCATCACTCTTTCATACACACAACACAAGAAGCTGAATCGACTCCATCCCAAAGAGAACCCCAGGACTTTTCAACCATGTCTGACCCAGTGAGAAAACTTGCCTTTTTGCTGTTTGCACTGGCGGCCGTGTGGGTTCAGCTCCACCAAGGTACGTTTTTGACTTTTTTTCTCACTTTAATAGACTTTTTTCTCACTTTAATAGTAATTTTTTTACTCTAATAGACATTGTTCTTACTTCAATAGACATTTTCTTACTTAAACAGGCCTTTTTCTCACTTTAATATATATTTTTCTCACTCTAACAGACATTATCTCACTTCATCAGACCTTTTTCTTGCTTTAACAGAAATTTTTCTCACTCCAACAGACATTTTTCTCACTTTAACACTAGATTGTCTCTTTAAATATCGCTTTCTCCTTTCCTTCTCACAGCCCAAAACATCCCCATCCGATGCAGTTGCCCGGGGACAGTGAAATTTGCACCCAACATAACAGATTTCGAGGTGAAGGAGAGGCGATCGGGGTGTGACAAAACCGAACTGATGTGAGTACGACACATTCACGCACACGTCTTCGACCATTTCTAAATACAGTTTTTAACCTTATTTTTGCTTCGTCTTCCAGCGTCACAATCGCTGTCGGCAACAACTCGACCATTCAACGCTGCCTTGACCCCATGGGGAAGTTGGCCAAAGCTTACTTCAGATGCTGGGAAAAGTAAGTTACAGCAAATCTAACTTAGAATAGAGTTATTTCAAGCCCCAACCAGGACTGAAAACCGAGACTTTCTTTGAGAATAGCAATCAATACAGTGTTTATACCAGTAGTTGCATGCATATAGATTCAATATTGTATACAAATGCATGTTTTTGGGCAGAATTGGTTGCAAACTATATAATATTCCAACTATTTACAACCCGTTTTTGGCTCAAGCAAGTGAAAATAAACAGAGCGGTCTGGCTGTTATTGCTTCACAGCTTTTCTAGCCTTAATTCGGGCGTTCTGCTCTCCCAAAATTCCATCCGATGGGCGGGGGAGCGACTGAATTTTGCGTTGCATTATGGGTAACACTTGCCTTCGCAACTTCCGGTTCTCTCTGCCCGGCGCATTTTCTCTAAATGGTTGAGTGTTTTCGTCATTTTCTGTATGCAAATACATTCCCGTCTCTAACTAGTGGCATATCGCGCAAATCATCCGTCCAATTCACATTCTTCCCTCTTAGCTGAACTTCATTCTCATTGTTACCATCTGTCACTCGCACACACAGCCGTTTTCGTTCACTCTGCTCGCTGTCATCTTCTTCTAAATCTTCATAAACACCATCCGCTCGTTGAACTAGCAACAACAATTCCTCCTTTCGTTTTCCCACACTGCAAATACCCTTTCGCTTCAACCTTTCACGCAATTCAGGCACTGTCAATCGCTTGTTGTTTTCGTGAGCCATATTCGCCATTGTATGAAATCAACCGGAAGTGAACTGGGCAACAAACGGTGTCATTTTTTGATCACAGCGCCGCTCAGTGGATGAAATTTTGGGAGAGCAGAACGCCCGAATTGCTTGCAAACTTTTATAAGAAAATCTTGCGGGGGAGATTGTGCCTTGGCATTTATGAATCGCTGGATCGACAATGCAAGCCACTCATGAGCGCCTGTAATTTGGCTTTTGGATTGAGTCAATTCTAACTGCAAATTGAGCCAAAACCCAGTTGACGCCAAACCAAATACCGCTATCAGCTTTCAGTAAAACATAACTCAAGTTTTAACATTGCATTCCCTGCAGTTCTGGTTAGCACAAAGGCTTTATTGCGCAGAATTCCAGATGTTTCCCATTACAAATCCTTGGCCTTAAACGTGACTGACTTTCTGCTTTTTCTCTCTCTCTATTTTTTTTCTTTCCACGCAGTAAAAACAAAAACGAAAGCCGTAAGCACGAGTGTATCGAGCGAAAGAAGAAGACGGACCAGTGACCAGTGGGAGAAGGAGAGGCGGGCGGGGGGGAGATGGGAGAAAGATGATCCAGGTTTAGAGGCCCTATCTTGGGGGGTGACATTTCCGGAATGGTGTCCCGGGATGGAGCAGATGATGTGAGCTTTGAGACTCGGGAGGGGAAGGCAGTGGGAGGACGATGATTAACAGCTGGAGCAGTAAAAGAAAGAAAAAGAGGCAAAGGAAATATGCTCAAAATGCAGCAAGTCTGTTCATGAAGGCCAACACTGCAAAAAATGACAGATTATGAGGTAATAATTGCTTGAATCAAGTGGATTTTATAGTAATTTGAGAAAAATTTGCCAAAAGGACAAAGCCATTTAGTCTTTTTTCAAAAACTGTTGCTTTATTTTCTGATTCCAACCGAGACATTTCTTGTATCTTTTTAAAACAAGATTATTTTTGCTTGTCCCGTCGGCAAATCTTGTTTTAAGGCTTTCAAATTACAATACATTTAGCCAATTTTGAGCAATTTTTAGTTTGTTTTCTTCACACTTTTAGCAGTGAAATGTTGAAATGCACTGTAATCTTGAGGAATAATTATTTATCAAAGCTATTTATTGTCAAATGTTTTATACGTGTGTGTGTTATGATACAATGTTGTTGAATATTCCATAGTGAGCCAATGTAAAACAATGTATTTCAACAATGTACTTGCTAGACCTGCCTTAACCACTACACTCTTTATCATAGAATTTTGGTCCACAGATTTTTTTTATTTAAAGACTATGAAAAAGTGTCTGATTTCTTATGCCTTTTGCTACAGAATGGATGGGAAAGTAGCAGCTGGTCTGCGAAGTGAGCCCATGTGAATATGTGTGTGGCCTCTTTATATTTTTCTATCACATTATGTTCAATAAAAGTGGTTTTGAAACAACTATTTTCTTATATTTCATGATTACAAACCTGACTGTATGTATGTGGCATTAGTTCAGTGATGTTAATGCTATGGCACTGCAGTTAGGGCTTGTGCGTCACAATAAGAAGGTCCTGGGGTTGATTCTGCCTCCAGGTCTTTCTGTGTGGAGTTTGCACGTTCTCCCTGTGTCTGTCAATCATCCATCCATCCATCCATTTTCTACCCCTTTATCCATTTCTGGGTCAGGGGGGTGGCAGTCAGAGATGCCACCCAAGTCACAAAGCACCAGCCCCTCACTGACCCTCTGCAGGTGGTGAGTCCACAGGAGGACGGCTGCTCTGTCAGTGAGTGCATAGCCTTGATTTTTAAGCGGGGGCTTTGGGCAAAGTGGGGTTAAGTGTCTTGCCCAAGGACACAACCGCAGCAGACATCAGTGGGAGTCGGTGGAGAAGTTGTCATGGTGGGCTCGAACCCACGACCTTCAGGCTCAAAGGCTTCTTCTGAGCCACTGTCGCCCAACCATATTTTATTCATGAAGTGCTTTTCACACAAACAAATACATACATACAATACAAAGTAAAAACTTCCAATGACTACAATAAATGCTAAAAATACTAAATAGTAATGTAAATAATTAAAAAAAGGTTTCCTCTGGGTGCTCCGGTTTCCTATAACACTCAAAACATGTACAAAAGGTCTAGCTTGAAGACTTTGCTTCAAGCTTTCCCTTGTCCCAACTTATATGGCTCTTTGAAATGAAAAAAAACAACAACCCCAAAACAACAGATGTATAACAGGAAATAATTCACAGTGTACAAAAGTTATTCTTGAAACACAAAATTCAGTTTCTTTTGTAGCCACATCCGCCATGGGTCAGACTGACAGAAACGAGGCCGCCAATCCCCACCATTGTCATTTCTGACAATCACCGCATTGACACCAGGTTTATACTACACAACACAACACACCTGTTAATTAAATTTACATTCAAACTGGTGTAACTCAATAATACATGTTTTTGACCCGACAAAAAGAGTCATTTGTTGTGAAGAAATCAAAACCACAACTAGCTACCTTCCTCTGATTAGAATTATTATCTTTTGCACACTTTTTAAGAGCCCTGTGAGTCCATATTTGATGATTGGGCCGAGAGCTGATTGGTTGAGTAATGGTTGACCTTTCTTTTTTAACTTTTATGTCTGAAAAAGCGGATCTAAAGATGTGACAGAGGCCAAAAATACATGCATACAAACCATACTACTACTACTACTACTACTACTAGATGGATTAATGGCATGGATTAATTTTGTGTTTTGAAAGTAAAGTAACCCAGCTTTAAGTCACGTTTTGTAAACTGCCCCATGACTTGCTGGGGCAGCTAAATCTTCCACTTTAAACTCTTTGGACATAAATTAAATGTGGCAAAAGCGCAAACAGGTCTATATCAAACTAAACCTCACAAGTGAATTTACAGCAAGCAAAGTGAAAACAAAGCAATTTGACGGGCTTTAGAAAACAAGAGAGGATGGATTCAAATCAGGCACACGAACGAGAAACATATAACTGATGTATTTCTTTAAAGGAAAAGGCACAGAGCTACAGTCGTACAGAAGATAGACATGACCTAGTGTTTAAAACTATGCCCAGTTTTATACATCGTCGGAGCAGAAGTTTGTGTCACATTTTCCAAACAGTAGATTGAAACACTGAATTTAACAATTAAGATTAATAGATCCTTTATTCGTCCCACAGTGGGGAAATTTCAGTGTTGCATCACCAGATACATAACAGTAGCCACAACTGCCCCGGGGCACACTGACATCAGCCCCTCTGACCATCACCAGCCACTCAATGGGGGTGAAGTGTCTTGCCTGAGGACACAACAGCAGTTTGGCCCTTTACAACCTTGGCCGCCCCACTGTGGTACCTGGTGTTCCCAGAAGTCTCCCATCACAGGCCCTGCCCTGCACAGCTTCAGATGTCTGGGATCTGACTTTAACATGCAGGTATGGCCACACATATCCTGTTCATGGAATCGAACCCAGGACCTTCTTGCCTTGAAGCACAAGCGCAAACCTTTGTGTCACCGTGCTGCTCCTATATACAGTAAATTCATGGCTCTAATCTCTATTATTTTATCACATTCTCCAGATTCTGAGAAAACAGTTAAGTCTATTTGCTCGACAGAATCTATGTTGTCTCAGTTTCGTCGTAGATTATAATGAAATTTATACCAATTTACACCAAAAGCATGTCAGAGAAATCACATTCAAGAGTGCATTTTACGCTGTTTTCTCGGTTCATTTCTTGGTGAGAAAATAGCTGGTGTTGTTTGCCTGCAGCTGCCTTTTTCAATCCCAGTTCTTTTTTAAATGAGTTTTGCGGCAAAGTTAACCAGCCGAGCATTTGCACCGCAACTAGATCAAAATGTTTTGTGGCCGCGACGCAGCTGTTTCTCCGGAGCGAGTGTCTGTTGAAAGACGCGCTGAGTGGACGGTGGAGTCAGACTCAGCTTGTTTTCTTATTCAGAGGAGCTTTGCATAATTCCAACGAAACACTGTCCATTAGAAATATGGCCCCAGCTGTGAGGCGCAGCTGCGGACTGACACGAGTGAAATACCACCACCACCGCTGCTGCTGCTGCTGCTGCTGCTGCTGCTGCTGCTGCTGCTGCTGCTGCTGCTGCTGCTGCTGCTGCTGCTGCTGGTGGGGAGAGAAAAATGTGTTGAGAGAAAGAAAAAGTGGCATCGGACAAAAGGAGAAGAATTTGAGAAAAAAACAGCACTTAAAGAACTAATTCAATGTGTATTTTTGTTTTTTATTTGGGCGGTGTCATGCCCAGTACACTTCTGTTAATTAAATATATACTGGTGTAACTTTCTTTTCTGTTTCATCAATTACACAGAAAGAGTCTTGTAAAAAATAATGGCAATTACATTATTGTCTGGTATAGAATAACCACATAATGTCATGTCATTATCTTCCTGTTTATTAATCCATTTCTGGGTCAGGGAGCTGGCAATCAGAGCAACCAGCCACAGCTCAAAGCACCAGTCCCTCGCAGGTGGCGGGTCCACAGGAAGATGGCTTCTCCGTCATTGAAGATACGGCCATGGTCTTTCAGCGGGGCTTCAGGCAAAGTGGGGTTAAGTGTCTTGCCCAGAGACACAATGGCAGCGGATTTCAGTGGGATGACCAATGCTCTACCAACTGAGCCACTGTCACCATGGCAGACCTCCACATTTTGAGACTTGGCTTGGGCCAGAGGATTTAACATGTTGTACATGTTTTGAGAGGAATCTGCCCTGGACCCTCTTAAGAACGCTAACCCCTCACCCCCGTCTCACTGATAATGAATCTAGTAACAGAATACTGAATGATTGTACTATTGTATTACATATTCAATCAATCAATCAATAAACTTTTAATTTGTATAGTACCTTTCCTACACAAGGCAACACAAAGCGCCTCACAACCCACATCACATCAAGCAAATCATAAACATAAACATATACATAAAAAAACACAAGAAATATTAAAAAACAGAATCAAATCAGAAGTAATTAAAAACATGAAAACATTAAAATTACACACGGGATTAAAATAATAAATATAGCCACAATGCATAAAAAAGAGTAAATATAAAATCCTTTAGTTGTAGAGATAAAATTCCATTGCAAGGTCCAATCAGAGTGGCAAGGCAAGGCAAGGCAAGTTTATTTGTATAGCACAATTCATACACAAGGCAACTCAAAGTGCTGAACAAAACAAGAAAGCATTAAAATCATAAATAATCACAGAACATTAAAAAGAAAGATAAAAATATAAAATCCCTCAGTTCTATGTACAGCTAAACAGAACTGTCTTTAACCTGGTTTTAAACATTGTCAGCGAGGAGGCCTGTCTCACATCTTCAGGAAGATTGTTGCAGATTTTAGCAGCATGAATCTGAAAAGCAGCCTCCCCATGTTTAGTTCTGACTCTGGGCATTAACAGGAGTCCAGTCCCTGTGCTCCTCAGAGTCCGGGCTGGTTCGTATGGTACTAACATGTCACTAATATATTTTGGTGGACTATTTTGGACCTAATATATTTTGGACTTGTACACAAGCAGAGCTGTTTT